CTTCCACGGATGACTGGCTTCACGTTCCCTTCTTGGGAATCTAGATGTGCCATGGTTATGTCGGAAGTGATATAGTGGGACTTCTGAGGCTAGGACATAAAAGGTAGTACAGCTTCTGCCCACTTCTCCTGACATCTGAGCTCCTGGTACACACCACCATGAAGTGAGGAAGCCCCAAAGCCCGCAGAAAGACATGGAGGTGAGTGGTGGTCTCCAGCCTACAGTCCAGCTGAGCTCCCAGCTCCCAGCCACTACCAACGAGGTGGCCACGTGAGTGAGCTTCTTGAAAGCAGATTCCTCCATCCCAGGTAAGTCAACTCTGCCGATGTAAGCTGTGAATGCCATACAGAGCCCACACTGCAGGTCTGAGAGCCAAATAGAGGATGGTAGTATTTTAAGCCACTGAGGTTTAGGGAGTTTTAGGGAGGTTTGTTATGCAGCAATAAGTATCTGATATATATCTGATACAATGTAACTGATTTGTTGATGTTTTATTAGGATTTTTGCATCTACTTTCAGAAGAAAGATTGGTCTATATTCCCCCCTCCCTTCCTTCTTTCCTTCCTCCCTTCCTTCCTTCCCTCTTTTCTTTCTTCCCTCCTTTACTTCTTTCCACTGTACTTGTCTGCTTTTCATATAAAAAAGGGTTGTATAACCCTTTAAAAATTATCTGAGATGTATTTCTTCTTTTTCTAGTCTTTGAAAGCATTCAGGTAAGTTGAAAATTATTTTTCCTTAATGTTTGATTAAAAAGAGATGAACCGGGGCGCCTGAGTGGCTCAGTCGTTAAGTGTCTGCCTTCGGCTCAGGTCATGATCCCAGGGTCCTGGGATCGAGCCCCGCATCGGGCTCCCTGCTCTGCGAGAAGCCTGCTTCTCCCTCTCCCACTCCCTCTGCTTGTGTTCCTGCTCTCGCTATCTCTGTCTCTGTCAAATAAATAAATAAAATCTTTAAAAAAAAAAAAAGAGATGAACTAGTGTAAAAAGCTGTCAGGGTTTGATACCTTTCATTTCTTTGAAAGAGATTTTTTGTTTACTGGCCAATTTATTGAAAGGCTAGGATCTGTTCTGATTCCTGATTTCCTATTATTTCTTAAGTTAATTTTTATAAGTTTCCTGGAAAATTGTCCACATCCTCCAAGCTTTCAAAACAGGGACATATAAGTTTCATTGTAAGTGAATTATGTCCCCTTCTTCATGTATAATATTGTTGATTTTCTCTCTCTCTGCCTCCCTGATGGGACTTGCCAGAAATATGCCTGTTTGATTTTGATTCATCTTTTCACCTGTTAGCTTTTCTTTACTGCTGATCTTTTAGCTTTTGGTGAAAGTAGAAAGAGAACTAATGAAATCATTTTCATTTTCATCATGATCTGTCTTTATCACTCCTTTCTATGTAATTTCTGGGCTTGTGATTTCTCTCTTGCTTTTTTTTTTTTTTCTTTACTTTTTGAGTTGAGCCCCCAGCTTATTATTTCTGGGCAATTTCCTCTGAAAGTATAGCTTTAGAAGCAAAGAAGAAGTTTGGTAAGAAGGGCTTGTCATTCATTTCCAAATATTTTACACTTTCCCCTTTAACTAGGATGAACTTGTCAGGCATCAACCGATGGAGATGCCTTTGATAGCGAGTGAAAGAGTTCCCATTAGTAATTACACCAGGATGACAGCTAGCTAGTGGGTCTTGCAAATTCAGATGTATGTACATCCGTAGATCATTTCAGAGACTGTGTTTTGGTTTTCAAGTGGTGTGTGTGTGTGTGTGTGTGTGTGTAAAGAGAAAATAACTTCATTGATTTCTACTATAATTACATTGAGGTCAGAAAATCTGGTGTATGTGATAAAACTTGGAATTTGCTGAAACTTCCTTTGTGATCTAGTGACTGGTCACATTTTTATAAATATATACCTGTGCTTGGAATCCATCTGTTATCAGGGTTCACTGTTTCTCACAGATCATATTTATTAGTCATCTTATTTAAATCCTCCACATAGACATATATGGGCCCGCTTGATCTATCCTTTTCTGATAGAGGTATTCCAAATCTCCTGTTATGACTATAGATTTTGAATGTTTCCTGATTATTTATCAATTTTTGTGCTAGGTATTGTAAGACTGTGTTAGTTGCTTATAGGTTAATATTAGTAGGTCAGCTTGGTGGATTCTTCCCTTTATCATTAAAAAGGTCTTTCTACATTTTATTAATTTTTGATTTTATATGCTTTAACAACTTTCTTCTGGTTGCCTGGCATATCTTATTGTATCCTACCCCTTTACTTCAACCTTTCTGTATGTTTGTTTGGTTGTGCCTTTAGGAAACCCCATAGCTAGACTAAAATAACAACCATAACATCAGCAACATATAATACTTCCAACCTGAGAGTCTTTTTAAAGTAAGTAGTTAAATCTGCTTATATTTATTGTGATCACCAACATATTTGTTCTTAATTCTTTCATCTTATTTTGTGCTTGTTTATTTTCCATGTTTGTTCTTTGCTTCATGCATTCTATTTCTTGCCTTCTATTGAATTTATTATGTTTTCCTTACTCCCTTCTGCCCAACTGAGTCAGACATTGTATATTCTATTAAAGACAAAACCTTAAATTTTTTAAAATAAAGACTGAACAAAGCCTACGTTCCATCAATATCTATCTCTTTCTTATGAAATGGAGGACTTTAAAAAAAAATTTTTATTGTTATGCTAATCACCATACATTACATCATTAGTTTTTGATGTAGTGTTCCATGATTCATTGTTTGTGCATAACACCCAGTGCTCCATGCAGAACGTGCCCTCTTTAATACCCATCACCAGGCCAACCCATCCTCCCATCCCCCTCCCCTCTAGAACCCTCAGTTTGTTTTTCAGAGTCCATTGTCTCTCATGGTTTGTCTCCCCCTCCGATTTCCCCCCTTCATTCTTCCCCTCCTGCTATCTTCTTCTTCTTCTTCTTTTTTTTTTCTTAACATATATTGCATTATTTGTTTCAGAGGTGCAGATCTGTGATTCAACAGTCTTGCACAATTCACAGTGCTTACCATAGCACATACCCACCCCAGTGTCTATCACCCAGCCACCCCTCCCTCCCACCCCACCCCCCACTCCAGCAACCCTGAGTTTGTTTCCTGAGATTAAGAATTCCTCATATCCAGTGAGGTCATATGATACATGTCTTTCTCTGATTGACTTATTTCGCTCAGCATAACACCCTCCAGTTCCACCCATGTCATTGCAAATGGCAAGATCTCATTCCTTTTGATGGCTGCATAATATTCCATTATATATATATACCACATCTTCTTTATCCGAAATGGAGGACTGTTAACTTCTTATCCTGATCTCTTCCCAGTCATCTTTTTCTTCTTTGGCAAATATTTTATTTCTGCCTTGTTTTACAATTCCCCTGAAGTTAGCTGTTGTTAAATAGGGAGGGACGTATTGTACCTAACATTTCTGTGTATTCAGAGCAGAACAGAGGCTTTCCATATCAGCTTAGTACACCACATCGATTGGAGTCCCTGATTTCAGTAAGTCTGACAAATCAATTACCTTCACGGGGTTCCCATTTTTGGTCACATCTGGCAGAGATCATCCAGAAAAAGAACTCCCTCATTTTGCCTAAGACTCTAGGAACTGAATAGTGAGGATGATGTGTATTATGATATTCAATAAAGAAAGAAATCACTGTGGCCTGAGGAGTCCAGAGAGGCTATTGTAGGAGCAAACATCGGTTAATCCTAGAATGTGCAGGGAAATTCCTTAGGAACAAAAGCGATGTGACCAAGATGGAATTCTGGTGAGATTAAGGAACAGCAGTTTACTACAGTCTCTGTGCAGTAGGGGGGCTATTCTTTAGAGACAGGAAGCCCCATAGGGCGGTGTTTTATTCGAGCTGGCAGGAGAAGGCCTGACTTCCTTAGGTGGCAGGACTTAGGGAAGTAAGAGCTGAGTGGGAGGTGGTTAGAAGGAGGAGTTAAAGGAGGTGGATGCTAGGTACACACCAGATGAAGGAAGGGGGCCACTGCTGACCTCTATGGCTCCAACTGGGGGGCAGGGAAAGTACCTTTGTTGGGCTGTTCATGCAAACTTTAGGATTTCATTCCGCAGGTGTTTGTGAAGATGCTACATTGCATGGTGCATGTTGGTGACTGAGACCTCTCGTGGGACTGGCAGCAGTTAGTGCTAGAAGGCCTCTATCTTGACAGGAGGCTTTAGTCACCATGAGCTGTCCTGGCTGCTAACGTACTCATTTGGGGAAGGCAGATAGATCACTAACAGGAAAGTCACAGGTCTGAAGCCCAGCTTGAGCTGCCTTTTGGGTCAGGGCCAAGGCTGGGTGGCTCCAAGAGGGCCTGGGCCTGACTGAGGGAGGCCAGCCTCCAGGGGAACAGGCAGAGGCCCGGCTGGACCCTGAGCATCAAGAAATGCAGGAATGGTGGGTCTTTAAGATCTCAAAGATGGCTTATGTCAGAGGGCAGGATTTCAGGTTTCTCTTCCCCATTCTTCATTATACTTTTTCCTGTATTGTTTTAATTATTTACAACGAGTACCTGTAATTTGTATATTCAGGAAAAAAGAAGCCATTTTCCTTGTGGGCATAAGCTACTCTTTCCAAGCACTGCCTGTTGTACTTCAGTCTTAACCAGTCTAAGCTCAAGTAGCTGTCCGCACTCATTATTCTAATTTTATGGACAAGAACGGAGCCTCAGAGGCTAGGGGACTTGCCCAGGGCCAGTGGAGGCAGAACGAGGTCCCGCAGGTCCCCACCGCTGGCTCTTGGTGGCCCTAAAAGCATGCACCGCAGTCCTGTGAACGAACACCTGAAGGATCCCACTCACCTGGGCGGCTCAGGGCTGGGGCGGGGCCGAGATGACGTCCGCCTCGCCCCGCGCTCAAGCCCCGCCCCACAGCCTGTCCAGGGTGCGGACCACGCCCCCACGGGCCCACCCCGCCCAGCGCCTAGGCCCCGCCCCAGGCCCGCCCCCCAGGCCCCGCCTCCTGCCGCCAGAGGAAACGGAAGTGGCGGCGGGCCCGGGCGGAAGCAGGAAGCGGCGGAGCAGGACCTAGCGCTGGGCAGTGTTTGCTGCAGGCCATGGCGGAGAAGTTCGACCACCTGGAGGAACACCTGGAGAAGTTTGTGGAGAACATCCGGCAGCTCGGCATCATTGTCAGTGACTTCCAGCCCAGCAGCCAGGCCGGGCTCAACCAGAAGCTGTGAGTGGCGGCCTGAGTCCTTCGGCGTCTGCCGGGAGCCCGGGCCGGGAGCAGGGCGGGGGAGCCGGGCCGGGCAGCCGGGGAGCCTGGGGAGTGGTTTCCAGCCCAGCAGCCAGGCCGGGCTCAACCAGA